ACACACACACACACACACAGTGATGCCGCTGTGAGCCTGCGTGAGGAAACATAATGCGTGATGGCATGTTTACAAAGAACCATTCAGTCCAAGAAACCAGAGACAGAAGATGTGCAGGAACCTTCTGAGACATTATGTCTCATCACAAGCAGAACACTGTCTTCATTGGGTCACACTCTGTAGGTTTTATGAAGGTAATTTAAGATTTCTAAGACCTTTCTATGAAATATCTGCCAATAGGCTCAGAAAGATCATCTTAATTCAACGGGAAACTTGTCTTCATTCACCACTGACAGATATTTGTTCTTGTTTTCATACATTCACTTCATTTTGTTCAGTTTCATAAGACCTCATATCTTTATGCTGCATCTCCAGTAAATGTATCTTGAATTAAGGAAGTTTAGATATTTGTACTGGAAAACAAGACAAAAATACTGAGGAAGAGATTCATTTAGCAGTTCATGCTACATTTAATGTGATGATTTTATTAATTTAAGACTTACTGCTATGATTTAAGGCCTTTTAATGTTTTAATTTGTGAAAGGGTGAATTAAGACTTTTTATAACCTTTTAAGACCCACAGGAACCCTGTAAGTTCATGTTTATAGAACTATGTTGGCCTGTCACTAATTGAAGAACAAATATATGAGATATAAAATTTAAGAATAAAAGTTACAAAATTAAGTAAATAGCATATTTTGTTGTAGACAGCTTCTCTTGTATATAATATATTAATAACTATATATATATATATATATCTCTAAAAGCTTCAAAACTTGATCATCATAAAGTTTAATAATTGGGCCTAAAACATTGCTGAAACAAGCATTACTAAAAATTAGTGCTGTCAAATGATTAATCACGATTAATCACGATATTTTTGCATAATATATGTGTGTGTTCTGTGTATATTTATTATGTATACATAAATACACACACAGACAGTATATATTTTGAAAATATTTATATGTATTTACATGTCTATATTTATATTCATATAATTTATATTATAAATAAATATATTTAATATATAAATATAACCTATTTTTCTGAAATATATACATGCATGTGTGTGTATTTATATATACATAATAAATATACACAGCACACATACATATATTATGCAAACAAAAACGTTTATTTTGGATGCGATTAATCACGATTTGACAGCACTACTAAAAATATTTCCTATAAATTATTAATAAATAACTTAAATAAATATATGTATTTAATTTCATTTAAAAAGATTTTTAGAAGTTTAAATATTTAATTCATAGTATTAAAAATGCCTATTTAATTATATGTCTCCATGTCAAAATATAAATAAAAAATTAGGCTTCCACTGTAAGTGACGAACAAAACAGACAATTAAATGGTTAATCACAGTTATTATTTGTTTGACAATCGTCAGGCATGAACTTGGTGACAGGTCTAGTCATGTGATCCTGCAGTTGTTGTGTTGTGTCTCATTATCTATTCCCGGACAAGATATTTATCACTATTCTCAGGGCAGAGCTTCAAACACACTGCACAGATAATATTACATACAGTCAGTGTGACATCTGTAATGCTAATTCCAGATCACAGATCATTCCTGACCTTGGTCCCTGCCGGCGGTCAGTCTGAGGATCTCCTCTCTCAGTCCGGCCATCTCCTGATCGAGCTCTCTGTTCCTGCTCTCGGCTTTGTGCAGACGCCTGGAGAACATCAACAGCACTGTATTTACTAGCAGTACATCAATACTACTGCGCAGTCATCCACTGTTCACTCTAACAAATGTCACAAAGACAAAAATCTAAAATTCTACAGTAAAAACCTGTTAAATGGTTAAATGTAACATTCCGTATACAGTAAAGAACCTGTTTAATCCAAAATTTATCATTTTTGGTAGTAACAACTATGAATTACCATATAATTTACAGTGAAAAAGAGTAAAATCACATGACACACACATACACAGACACAAACACACACACACATACTGTATATATATATATATATATATATATATATATATATACTGTATATCATAGACTGTAAAAAAAACTTCTTTCCAGAAAAGTGAAGCCAAAACATCCCAATGCAAACAGACACTCACACACACACACACACACACACACACATAAAACTCCTGATTCAGATGTTGTGATTGATCAATGAAAGGGGCGGGGCTTACCTGAGCAGTTTGGAAGCAACGTTTGCGCTGATTGGCTGAGCCGGGATGATTGGCAGGCCTGAGGACTGGGTGGAAGGGAACTGGGTGTGGTTAAAGGAGGGAAATCCAGGTGTGAACGGGTCACCGGAGCCCAGATGCACCTGATAGGATGATAGGACATGACTGTGAACTGTGTCTAGACACATTTTAACACCATTCAGAGAACAAACATGCAGTCGTGGGCTTTAGCTTTAGCAGAGGTTTGATGATCCTGCGCTGGGATTCTCACTTAGAGAAGCTTGACTAGCCTTGGACGTTATAATCACAAAATGTTATGAAAAATAACGGACTTCTGAATTAAAATGCTCAAACAGGATTTCATCATTAGGAAGAGAGACGAAAAAGATTCAAGATGTTTTAATCCTTTAATATTAGAAAACATTTGTTTCCTTAAAATAGACAGCAGTACAAAAAACTACACAAAAAACTACAATACCACGTGAGGTGAAATATGACTTTTAAAAAGATTTTCTTATGAAGAATTACTGTTTTAGCTACTTCTATAAATCTATTGAAAAGGAGTAAATAAAGTCTTAAAACAGACCCATTCTAGAGCATTTCAACTCTTAAAAACTAAGAAAAATTATTAAAGAGACAATAAAAAAAGCTTAAAGCTATATTAATCCATTTTTTTAAACTATAATTATTATTATTTTTAATTCCTGAAAAAAACAGCAGTATAAAAACATTAAAAAATAAGATATAGAGTGAAATAAGATTTTTAAATTCTCATGAAAAAGTTCAAAGTAGAATATTAAAATCTTTTTTCTAAAATAAATAATATATTACATTTACATTTAGTCATTTAGCAGACATATATAAGTTTATATTTTACAAAATAAAAGTATATTTTTATAAAATAATAAAACATTTGTATACATTTATTAAGGAAAGAGTCAGGAACAAGGGCAAAATAAAGAAAGTTTGGTTTAAAAACACAAAGATAAAAATGTTTTTTTTTTTAAAGTCTTAATTTAAAAACATTATGATTTAATACAATTTTTGTTATCTTATTATTTAATTTTTAATTTATTATAAATGTAAAAAAAATATTTTAATTCTATTATTTAATTATTAGTGCTTTATTTTGATTGATTTATTTTAAAATGATTTATTTTAAATAGACATTTGTAGAATTTTTTAGTAAGCGTTTTGTCTGGATAAAATCCCTGTGCGTACGTGTTCAGAGATGACGGCGTTGCTATGGAGACCGAGTCGCCGTGGATCCTGCGGGACATCGGCGGGGTCGGGGTAGATGAGAATGCCCACAAGCCCCGCCTCCTGCGCATGCCACACCTTCTCGGCGAAGCTCACGGCTCCTCCCACCCTCGCCACGGCGATGGAGCCGTTGAGGGCGACGCCCATCGCGCGCAGCTGCTCGAAGTCCTCGCTCCGACCGTAGTTGACGTACACCACGCCTCCCTGCGCAACAACACACACTCAGAACACACTACTGATGCACTGCACTGGTTTATGCGCCGTCGCCGTGGTTACCGTGGCCGTTCCCGTGGCGCTGTAGGCGCAGTATCCCTTACTGTCCAATGGAATCTCCTCGAGCTCCGCCCCCTCGGAATCCACCAACCAGAGCGCGTTCGGCTGCGTCCTGTGGGAGCAGGGCAGGCGTGTGATTGGCTGAAGCGGCGCTGGCTCGGCCAATCGCTGACGGACGCTCACCTGGAGGGAAACTGCAGCGTGGCGTAGTGCGAGTCGGTCCAGGTGTGATCCATGCGCAGGTTCTGCAGGTTCTGCAGGATTTCTCTGGCCACCGCGTTTCCTTCTGAGGACCCCGGAGGATGAGACGCCCGACTCACACGCCTGAGCGAAAACACCACAACACATCAACACCAGCAGGACTCCGGCCACAGGTCAAAGGTCAAAGGTCACGCCTGCGTTCATTTTGTTTAATTGGTCAAATAAAATAAATTAAATATTTTATCTTTGGGGTTTTATTTTGATAGTTTCTATTTAAACATTTTTTATTATAAATTTATAACATTAATATTTAATTAATTATTGGTATTGCTTTTTTTTTTTTTTTACAATAATTAAATTTTTATTTTACATTTTCATGATTTAATCAATTTTTAGTATGCTTTTTTTGTTGATTGTTTTAATTTAAAAACTTATTTTAATTTGACATTACGATTTAATGAATTTTTAGTGTTTATATTGACTTAGATTTTTTATTTTAAAATACTATGTTATGATTTAATTTTTAGCAAGTTTTTGTTTTGGTTGTTTTTTTTTTTTTACTTTTAATTAGATAATTTTGTGAATTCAGAAATGTTTAGTAAGTGTTTTATTTTGATTTGCTTTTATTTTAAAATAAATTTATTTATTTTAATTTTATATTTTTATGGTTGAATTTTTAGTAAGTGTTATATTTTGTTTTCTTTTTAATTGTATACTTGATCATTTGTAGTACATTTTTTTTATTTAAAAATATTTTGTTACTTTTTTTGATTAAATTATTAGAAAGCTTTTTTTATAATAATTTATTTGTTTAAATTGGGCATTTTTATTATTTAGTTATTTTATTTTTGTATTTTTTTTTATTATTTTAATTTGACATTTTTTGTGATTTAAGACATTTTTAGTTTTGTTTTGATTTGTTTTTATTTTAAAAATATGTTTTTTATACGCTTATGATTTATTTTTTTATTTTAAAATAATTTATTTGTTATAATTTAACATTTTTATTTCAAAATATATTTTTTAATGTTTATTTTTATTTATTTTTTTGTCAATTTATTTGACATTTTTTTATTCAATGTTTAGTCAAGTCACCTTTATTTCTATAGTGCTTTATACAATACAGATGATTTTTAAAGCAGTCTCAGAGTGATAAACAGTGAATAACAGTAGCTGTTGACCTGAGTGTGTTCTCAATCCTCTCCTCCTTCAGGTACTTCTTCAGCATCTCTCGGAGCTCTGCCATGTACATGACGCCTCCCTCGGCCGAGTGTTGAGCTCCCGCCGCGTCGCTCAGAGGAATCAGATCGCCGTCGTTCCCGCACAGACGACACATTCCCCGGAACGCCACGTATCCCAGCAGGAACGCTGTGGACCAGACCGACACTGATCCTAGAGCACTACATATCACTGGATTAACCAAGTGTCTGAAATAACAACACTGTGGTCACATGACCTTACATTAACGCTTACTAAAAATGAATTCAATCATAAAAATGTCCAGCTGAAACAAATAAATGTTCTAATTACTAATTATAATTACTAAAATGACTAAATTGCTTACTAAACATTAAATCATTAAAATGTCAACTTAAAATGAATTGTTGTAAAATGAAAACAAATCAAAATAAAACACTTTTTAGGTCATACAAATAAGTGATTTTAAAATCAAAATCAAAATGAAACACAATACTACAATAATAATAAGTACTAAAATGTATGTATTACTTACTAAAAAAATAATAATAAAATAAAAAATAAAAATGTAAATTAAACTAAATTATTTAAATATATATATATATATATATATATATATATATATCAAAATAATGATATATATATATATATATATATATATATAGGGTACAACGGAGCTAAACACCCACCTTAAGAAAAAATGTGACATTCACTGCGCCTAAAAAATAATGCACTTACTACAATTAATTAAATCATAAAAATGTCATAAAATAAATTATTTAAAAATAAAAAAGCAGAATAAAACACTTACTTATAATGAATTAAATCATAAAAACTACAGAATTAAACTAAATTATTTTAAAATGAAACACTTGCTAATAATTACTATATAACTTACTAAAAATCACACCATAAAAATGTCAAAATAAAATAAATTTCAAAATAAAAAAAAATCTAAATAAAACACTTATAATTAATAAAGATGTAGAACTGAATTATTTTTAAAATAGAAACTATGAAAGTAAAGCACTTACTAAAAAAGATTAAATATTTTATTAGTTTTTCTACATGTCATGTGAGCCGTTAAATTATTGAAATATAAACGTAATTTCTGTAGGACTTATTTTATAAAATATTTCTATAAAGGTAAAATAATGCCTAAAAGATTTGCGTATGCAGGGCAAGAGTTGTGGACGTGTATATAAGACTGTAAGCAAAATTGAACTGAATTGAATTGTAAGCATAAATTAAATTTGCATTTCCAAGCTCCGTCTTTCTTTGCTCTGCGCTTATAATTTTGGCACGATTCTCTCACTAACTGAGTCTTGCAAGCGTGAGGGGGAGGGCGGGGCCACCTTCTTCTTGTAGCCAATCACATGAGCCTCTCTCTGACTCTCCATTCACTCTTATCTGATTGGTTCAATAAACACATCATACCCAAGACATTAATCTTCATTTAGTTCAGGATCGTTCTCGCTGCCGGAATGGTACTTTTAACATACACATACATTAAAAATAAATAAATAAATAACAACTTGATTAAAACATGATACTTTATAAGTTGTGTACCATTAGGCTAAACTCCCATGTGTTCATATTGAATTGTGAGTTGGTGTTAGCATTATTGGATTGGTTTTGTTTTACAATGAAATTTCATATATCATATAATCTGCATACACCATTGAGCTGATGTTAAACAGTACAGTCAAAATGATGTTATGTGACAATGCTCAGCACTATAGTATCAGAGTGCTATAATTTGTAAAATCTTTTTACTATACCAATAAAGCTACATAAATCTGAATTTGTCAGTTTTTCAGACCATGTCTCTGTTTACGGTATTTAACACTCAATTGTATATTTTGAAATTTCGGTATTGATTCTGATTACTTTCATGTGACTGACCAAGCTATCATATGAAGCAAGTATGAGCAACAAAACACTTTCTTTGTGTCCAGATTTGACTAATGCAAAAACTTACACTTCAATTCAACGTAAAAAAAAATTAAATAAACTTTGATAAAAATATGTCGAGAACGATCCTGAACTACATGAAGATTAATGTTTTGGCGTGTGATGTGTTTGTGTGTGTGAGTGTGCGTGTGTGTGTGTCTGTGTCTGTGTGTGTGCGTGTGCGTGTGCGTCTGCGTCTGCGTGTGCGTGTGCGTGTGTGTGTCTGTGTGTGTGAGTGTGTGTGTGTGGGTGAGTGAGTGAGTGAGTGAGTGAGTGAGTGAGTGAGGGTAGACAGCTGCTTTCCTGCGGTCCATCTGCCGCTGCAGCATCAGCGCGCTGGTGATGTCACTGTTCAGCGTGACCTCTAACCCCTCCTCCAGCGGGACCAGCTTCAGCTCAACAGGAGGGACTCTCCGCCTGACTCCGCCCCCTTCCTCCACGCCCTCATTCGCTTGAGCTCCGCCCCCCACCGCCTGCTCACACACAATCAACTGTCAATCAACTCCAGATTAAATGCACAATGAAAGCGTTTACAGTAATAAACGTACAGTGGAGATTTCAACTATCACACTGTTTTAAAAGTGGAATCATAATAACACACATTCACATGAGAATGATAGTCTTTAACTATTATAATTAACTCAAATCAAAACTATTAAAAAATATATATTTTCATTACTGGAAACAAAATAATAGTTAACTGAAATAAAATGAAATTTGAAAAACTTCAACTTTAATTTCAGCTAGTGGCCAACGTAACATTTCTTATTTTCGTTTAGTTTAATTTGATGTAAATAACTAAAACTGAAATAAAAATACAATGAAATAAAAATTACGTAAAAAATACATGTGTGTGTGTGTATATATGTGTAAAAAAAAAAACTAAAATAACACTAAATTGAACTGATGATTATAAACTAGTGAACCGAAAATATTCCTTTAAAACACTGATTGTGATTTTTATACAGCAAAAATAACCAAATCTGTCAGAAACACAAACAGAAGAACAAGAAGTTTAAAGACAGAAAAAAAATGAAAGATAATGCATAAATGTTTAAGGTGACCAGCAGATGAATGAAATAATGACCAAATTATTGAATGAATCTCTTACCCCAGAAATCAAACCTGTGACAGAATCCATCATCCTTCAACACCTGTTATTCACACACACACACACACACACACACACACACACACACACACACACACACACACACACACACACTTAAATGGAGACATTACACAGACTTCTACTGTTTTTATATTCAGCTAGTTATACATACCTCACAATAAATAGCTAGTAATAATAACCTATAAGGAACACCATCTCTCAGCATCACATCATGACAGATCAGTCACACTGACTCTGACTGTTGATTATTTGTGTCATGTTGGAAACTCCTGTGTTTTTGACCGGATCAGTAAAGTCAACAGATGTGATGCAACACCGGCCGAGCTTGAGCTCATTTCCCATCAATCCCAGCGCTGACGACGTCACCAGCATCTCTTGCATTCCTCAGTCTATCTCTGCTGTCCAGCGACAGATAAACCACAGCACCAGCGGCACACCCGCCAGCACCCAACACCAGTAACACACGCGGGAAATAATGACCACACACACGTCCTCATTTGTCACAAAAACGTGCACACACACACACACACACACACACACACTCTCACTCACTCACTCATTCACACTCACTCTCACACACACTCTCACGCTCTCACACACACACACACACACACACGAGGACCAGCATCATATTAAAGAATATCAAAAACAGCTAAATACATTATTTTAGCTTTATTTGTGTAGCTTAGAATGTGTTGTTGTGAATGTGTTGTTGAATTATTAAAATATTTACGTAATATTTCACAGGGCTTCAAGCAAATGTTTGAGCTCAAAAGAGGTTTGGGGAGACCAAACGTTTGGGAATCTCTGCATCGGATCATCCTAACCTCCTCAGAGACCAGAACTGTGAGATATTACTCCTAAAAGATACATTTTACACAATCTCTAACCACAAACCAATGCGGTGACCAGACACTAACTAAACCACCAGCAGAAGCTCTGGAACTTTCTTCCTCATGTGGATTCAGAACTTCAGAAGATCCTCATTCTGAAGCTTTATTTACTCTCCTGCTGCACATATTGATTTCTATTACAAACACACACACAGAGAGCCAATGTCCACACACACACACACACACACACACACACACTCAGATCTGCTGGAGACAGAAGTGTGTGCTTGATAAGAGCCGTTAAAACGAGCACAACTGACATTGTGAGTGACACCAGAAGATATCAGACCTCCTAAAACCCTAACACATGAAAAACCTCACTGAAACTAGACCTGATGATCATGCGAGGCGTCTTAATGTGTGACATACCTGCTATCCTCCTGCTGTGTGTCTGATCAATGACCATCCGTAAGCTCCGCCCCCTGAGAGCTCCTCTGTCAGGAGCTCCGCCCCCAACATGCTTTCCTACTCTGTGATTGGTTAGTGATGACAGGTTTCAAGCTGAACTGATATTCAAGACGTTCAAATCTATAAATCAAATGTAACAATTGAAACATAATTGTGTGACCCTGGAGCACAAAACCAGTCATAAGGGTCAATTTTCGAAATTGAGATTTATACATCATCTGAAAGCTGAATAAATAAGCTTTCCATTGATGTATGGTTTGTTAGGATCGGACAATGTTTGGCTGAGATACAACTATTTGAAAATCTGGAATCTGTTGCTACAAAGCGACTTAAGACTGCTTTTGTGCTCCAGGGTCACAATTCTGTTTATTTCTGAGTTTAGCTAGTTTAGCTTAAAAATATATATATACAGTATATATTGTGAAGAGCTCCAAAACAGCAGCAGAACATCAAACACATAAAACAGTGAGCAGCATCTGATCACATGAGACAGGTCTGCTGCATGCCAGTCATTCCGCATTGGTTGTGTGTATCAGCGTGTGTGTGTGTGTGTGTGTGTTGGCAGTGTAACTGCAGTGCAGGTGTGAATTTGCGGATGAATTCAGTTTGTCCTCGATGAAATTTCCTCAGCTGAGATTTCCCTGAAACACACACACACACACACACACACACACACACTTTATTTAGCATTTAGTGTGTTATTCTCCAGACTGGATGTGTATGCATGATACAGCTGAATTAAATAAAACTGATTTAATGAAATAAATCTATATTATCGTGTTTCAGAGTGTGGCACTGCACTGTGTTCATTTACACGTGAGCAGCTCATGATCTGGTGTTTTCAGCATCTCAGTTGACAGTAAATGCTGCTTCATCTCTGCATCTGAGTTTGAGCTGCTTTAATGTGCATCTGAACACCAAACATCTTCACAAACTTGTAATGAGAAGCATGTATAAATGGCTTATTATTGTGTATTTTGGGAATGCAACGTTCAACATTTACGATTTATTTTCACGCACATAATTTCCAACATTTTCGTGCACAGATGATTACAGCATTTCATTCGATTTGTAATGAGACGTGTTTGTAAGCCAGTTTTCACAGAAACTGCATTTTTAGACATCTTAGAGACAAAACTGGGACAATTGTTTTGTAATTTCACTACTGTAAAGTAATTAATATACTTATTAGGAAAATTCTGTTTTCATTTTTTTATTTTCTGTTTTCATCACATTTATTTTACAGTGCAGTTGTTACTAATATATTACTGTCTTATTTATTTATTTATCATAATTTCGTTTTTCATGGGACTCTTGAAGTAAAGACTACCTGAACTAAAATGTTGTAGATCTTAATTTTGCACCAGATTCATGCATTTAACTTTAAAACTTAAAAAAAAAAGTGCATTTGTAAAGTTAAATGCATCAAATTAACTGCTCCAAACTCTTTTTAGTTGTGATAGTGTCTGTCACATTACACTGGTGTTTTAAATTAAATTAATATTTATGTAAATATTCGTGTAATTAAAAATCATTATATGATATATTTTATAATTTTAAATTGTACTAATAATAATAATTATTATTATTAAAATGACTTCTACTAATTTCTGTTCTACATGACTCCAGATCTGAGTGGTTTTGAGGGTTTTCCTCTGCGCAGATCTGCGTTCTTCATCTTCTGCTCAGAGTACCGGCCGATGGTGAAGAGCGAGAACCCGAGTCTGTCCATCGGTGAGAGATGTGGTTGAAGCAGAGCATCACAGACCGCGCGCCGTTCGAACAGAAAGCCCTCAAACTGCGCGAGAAATACGAGAAGGTGAGCCGCAGACTCACGGTCATGTTTATTTAATCATGTGGGCGTGGCTTGAGCGTGAGCGCTCTGTGATTGGCAGGAGGTGGCAGTGTACCGCACAGGGGGCGGAGCCACTAAAAGGGGGCCGGGCCGACCGACGGGCTCGACTAAAAAGGCCCAGGCTGAGGATGATGAAGGTGACGATGATGAAGAGGATGAGGACGAGGAGGAGGAAGAAGATGATGAAGATGAGGAGGATGACGAGTAGAGTGTGTTTGTGTGTGATGCAGCTTCACTGATGTCAGACGGCAGAGGGTTATCTTGGGTTTTTCTTTATGTACATGTTTAACGACTCCAGCAATAACGCAAGTGTTCTGGTTTTGGTTCGCTTCTTTAGATTTATTTTTATTTTTGTACACGTATGTTAGCCGTTGATCCAATGAAGCGTAGAGGTGCTTTTTTTTATAATACATTTTTAAAGGTTTTGATATTCTATTCTACTGTGTGTGTATATATATATATATATATATATATATATA